AGCCGGAAGAGGTGACAGCGGGCTGCGTGGGGCCGGAGTGGGAGCAGGGCGGCGTGGTCTGGGGCAGCGGCGCGGGCGGCACATGGTGGCCGAGGGCATTGGGCTGAGCTCCGTGTGCGGGCCGCGGGCTCACCGCAAGCCGGCCCAGCGTGCGGCGGACCTAGGAATGCAAACAAGAACGGGTCACCTGTCCTCTACTGGAGGTGGCCCTGAGAGCGCGTTCTAGGCACAGCGCACCTCCTGCGCAAAGGCGCCTGGAGTGGGGATGGGGCGGTTCTGTGGGTTCTGATGGAGCTGTCTGAGCAGGAAAGAAATATGAAGGGGAGCTGGCACCCTGTGTGGCAGCCTCTCGAACCATTTGAATTATGCGTCTTACCGTTAAAAAGATTTTAGTTTACATCGCAGTAAATACACATTTATACACTACTTACACGTTAAGCACGTTATAAAAGTAAAAGAGGACGTGAGGATAAGGAAGCGTTAGTAGAAGCTAGAGCCTTCTGCATCCTACACATTCCGCTGGACTCATGGCCACTAATGCTGTCCCGCTGAATTTTTTTGTGTCATCAAATCTGGGCGGTTGGAGGCGTATATGGTGGAGACTCTCAGCTGACTTCATTTAGCTGGATTGTCAGGCTGCTCTTTGTGACAGGTCCTCCTGCTCTACTCCCCTCCGCTCCCAGGAGCAAGGAGCTCTGGGCGCCAGGCTTGGCTGCTTTGCATCCCTTGGCTCTGTACTCACCAAGAGCTGTTTGTGTTTGTGTCGTTCCATTGATGCTATCTTTACTTGTTATTGTAATTATCTAGGTAACTAAATATTGGTGATAGACAGCGTGAGTGTATATCAGAGTCATTTCACTGAAAACCAAATCGAGTGCTACGAAATAACTAAGTGCATACTGTCCAGTTAGGTGAGAAACTTGTAAATGCTGAAAAACAGTAAAGTTTAGGATTTTGCCAACTTCTTCCTAAGAGTCTACATGTTCTTATGTCACTTTTAAAGGCAGTAGCAGGGTCTGCTTACTGTATATTTTGTCCTGTAGAGTTAGGGATGAGATGATGTTTGCTCAGAGAAGCTCTGGTCTTACGCCACAGGGAGTGAATGGATGACACTTGTTTATAAGTCAAGCTTGGCTCATTTTATCACTCTTCAACCAACCTCTGCATCCATTGTCAGTTCCGACCTCCTTGGATACAGAGGCTTCTATTTCCTGTGG